CTGATGAGTAGTTTCATAACTAGTTTCTCATCTGCGTTTGAGAAATAATTAGACAGATAGGTTACTCCCAACGATTTTTAAGTGCTTTGTGTGTTTGTTGGTGAGCTCAAAGCTACACATTGGGTATCTGTGCTGTGACCACCACGGTTCTCGAAACTCAAGTTTTAGCAGTATGAGCCCTCAGACTTACCGCTGGGGAGGGGGGGGGGAGCATTGCGGGTGTTATCATTGCATTTGTATTTCTGAAATTATATATTTTCCAGTGTCCTGCAACCAGTACAACACATTTTATCTGTTTGTGTCGTACTGTGCGATCTTTGTTCCAATACATTGTATTTTCCAGTGTCCTGCAACCAGTACAACACCTTTTATCTGTTTGTGTCGTACTGTGCGATCTTTGTTCCAATACATTGTATTTTCCAGTGTCCTGCAACCAGTACAACACCTTTTATCTGTTTGTGTCGTACTGTGCGATCTTTGTTCCAATACATTGTTATTCACTGGTTTTTCTCCCCGTTCCAGGTTGATAATAAGTTATTTGGTAGTTTTGTACCTCAATAACTATATTTTTCTACTTTGTCTACAGTAAGAGGTGGTATTACTAGGTATACGAATGAAGGACATTTATGTTTAAAAAGTTTCCATTATTCAAAATCCACGCCATCTTTGCTTATATAAAACGTCTTGTTAATTTAAGCATACTTGGTTATATAAAAAGATATACCAATATATGTTAAAGTAATAGTCTGGGAAGCACTTATGTGTATGCATATTTTTCAGTCATATGTGTGTATGAGGTTCATTCTTTACTTTGTGTCTACAGAAAACAATATTAGTTTTTTATATTCTTATGGTGTAGTTTTGCTGCTTTAAAAAGGTTACTCGTTACTATTAATTATATTTATAAAATTAATTCCTGGTTGCGGACGCAAACGGACATATGAAAATAGCTTATAATGATGCCCAACTACAGATCCTGTGGTACTTTGGTAAGGAAATATATATATATAACTAATTGTACACCATCTATATGTTTATGTAGAATTTTACGAAATACCTTATTGTTTGTTAAACTGTATTAATAGTTACAACAAAATTCTGCCTGATATTCAGACTCTACGTGCTGTTCCCTGCCATGCTGTGAGAACTGACACAACTATTCAGATATATATATATATATATTTCCTACCAAAAACTTGTTTATTCAAATTACAGTGAAATACGGCATTGATGTATCATACTATCTTAGAAAAGTAGCATAATACATTTCAGATCTTTGGATAAGAAGATGAATATTATCTTTAGAGTTGAAACTCCATCCATTAGAAATGGTCTTCATCCTCTACGCCTTAAAGCTTTTTTTTTTATTCATTTTAAAGTCAGAAATGGCATCTATCTTCTACTCTCGTCAGCAACTAATAACGAAACAACAAAGCCTACAGAAATATATCAGATATATTTAAAAGTTCATCTTTTCTAGCTCGTAACCATCACTGAAGTGAGTTTTGAAACTAATATTTTACAGTTGAGCTCTTCGAAATACTTTACACAGGCTTTTACCATTCTTTCTAAGTATCGCTGTTTTCAAAGTTGCGTTTTTTGTGAGTTGCTATGTTCTCATTACATCAATAAAGTTTAAAAGTTGAAATGGTATTTTTCAGCATAAGAAAACTTTCTTTCTTTATGTCGTCAATATCGTTAGAAAAATCTCCAAAAATAACAGTGTCGTTCTTTAAGGTATACAAAAAAAATTTTATTCGTATTACTCAAAGTCCTGAATATATGACTGTATCAGTCAGTTCTCCTATGGAAGATAGAAACATATAACACAGAGCCATTCACAAAGGAGGCAATATGTTCCATTCACAGAGTAAGAAGGTGTATTTAACACACGTGTAATGATACATAATATTAACTTATACGTATAGATATAGTGTTAGAAAAACACTACCTCATCTGCAAACAAAAATCATTTAATGATTTAGCATGAACTTATCTGTATGTACATTTGTATTGCTTAATAATCTTACAAGTTGAAGCTGTAAGGTTACATATACCTAGTATATTTAAGTAAGTCTGTATACTTATGTGTGAAGTCTTTATATGCCAGAAAAGCAATGTATGTCTTACCTACACCTAATTAAGCTTCCCATTCTTGTTTTATATTTAGTTGGAAAGTGTTGTAAAATAAGAAAGCACATTTCGAGATATTGTGAGTACAAGATCTACTATCCGACAGGATTATATGGTGTTCTTACTTGATGAAATATATCGTTTTTACTAGACGTGAACTACATAATTTATTGATTTATATAAAAAATGTAGTAAAAAAAAGAGACAGTGAAAATATTGTATCGTCTATTTCAGATTGTATCAGATTACGAGTACGTTATATTAAAACGCATTTTGAACATCCTGACATCGTTACAGCTTCTAATCACCATGCACGGTCCTGCTCTATCTGACGACTAAGCATCTTGACAATAGACCTCAGAATAGTTTCCTTTGCAAGAGGAACTGTCGTAAGACTGTCTACCCAAAGAACACCACTCATCCCTGCGTATTTTCCATTAACCACTTAGTGTTCGAGGACAACTGTTTCCCAGTACCCGTTTCAACAGGCGTTGCGTTTAGCAAATTGATCGGCATGTCTTCGCATGGAATAGTATGAATACCCGTTTCAATCTCCAGCTGCTTGAGGATTAACAGATATATCGTGGAAGCAACTTGTGTCTCTTTTCCAAACATAGATGCTTCTTCAGTATGTTGAGTACTGTTATGAGGCACATGGACATCGTTTGCCACTTGGATTCTCACGTATAACAAGATGTCGCATAATGCTTACCACGGCTGGAGTACGACTTGTTTTAAGTATCTTTATGGATGGTCCTGGTTTCCCAAGTTAACCCATCATCTTTGTTTTCCAATGCAATTTCTGTGGCGGAAATTATATATTCCCAGTTAAATACATCTTTATGATCTGAATGTACTGATATTTTGCTTTGGAAAAGGCTGTTACATACTCTTCCCCAACTCTATCAATCTTTGGTGGCATTGTACTAGCGTGAAACGCCAAACAATATTAAAAAACAGTTGTGATGGATTCCGTCCAACCGCAACTTCGTATTGACTGGAAGTGTCACATGACTTCCTGATTTGCATATTCCCTATCGTTCTACTATAACGTACTCAATTTTCTGTATGCTTTGGGCACACATAATAGTCTTATGCACTCCTTAAGAAAGAAGAAAATTAATGCTGCATTGTAAAAATAAATCACGCTAGGCTATTTTAGGCTATTTTTTCTAATTTATTCTACTAGGTTCAAATAATGAAATTTCATAATAAACGATAAAAAATATTGTACAAGGTTTACAATGTCAGCTTTGAATAGCCTTAATAAATAAACCTTATGATTTGATATTTTTTAATAAATAATAAACCTAATGTCATATTCAGAGTTCATATGACGTATTTCAAATGTTTTTACAATATTTTGTACAACAACTTTACATATATTTTACAGTATGAATAGTTGTATAGACTTAATTACAAATTCGGATGTTAGGTTAGTTTTAGCTATCTTCGTCATTACGTCAGATGCTATTAACGCATTATTTTTTTCTATATAGTGATGCGAGTGAATGTATTTAAGTTAGTTTTAGTTATCTTTAGTTTTGCGTTAATCTAATTCCCATTTGCGATTTCTGTCACCAAAAATGCATAATAATCCATCTTAATTTTGTTGAGTTTCATGTCATAGTGTATTTCTTTCACTGTTATTTGCTTTAACGTTACCCTATATAATATATAAGTATCCCACAAACTTTGATCCTCATGGATAATAAAGCATTATGTCTGAAAATCGGAGTTACTATTTCAAACAGTTAAGCGTTAAAACTTTAGATGGGCCTTGTATCAACTTCTCATGGAGAACCATCAGAGAGTGCGTTATCACTCTCTATGTAGGAATAGCACGGACGCCTGTATTAAAGCAATGCAAAAGTCAATTGGATTTTCTTCTCTACAAGTTATCAGAAGCTAGATATGAAGGACTACCTGGCATAGTCGCTCTATCTCCGGTGTATGTGCCGCTTTTCAGCTATCCAGAGCGTCCCAAAATCGAAAACCGGCGAATAGCCAAAACCGGGGTTTCTTATTTTCGTTCATCATCATCTTTCTTCAACAGGTCTAGCGTCTACCTAATTCTAGCAGTAACTATAATTTTATCATCATTTGATAGAGCAAAACAGTCTTTCATGATCTTTGATTATCTATTTTATTATTATTCTATGCAAAATTAATAAAGCTTTAGAATACACTCTATAACCTAATAGCCCACGTACGCCATCTTATAAAAAAAAGTAAACAAACAAGTATTAGGGGGAAAAATGTATCGCTGAACAAAACATTCTATTTAGGACTGGCTATTGAACTAGAAAAAAAAGGAACGAAACAAGATAAGGATGGAAGTGGACATATCACTTGATCCGGCTAATAATCACATAGCAGACTAAGCCGTCTTGACTTGAAATTACACGAATAAAATCTCTACATTACTGGATTCCTCACTGGCAAAACAAATAGAACCAGAAATTCATATCGTAAAATGTTACTCTACTGTAAAATAGTCATAAAAGTAGTATTCAAAAGTTAACTAAAGAAAAGGTATAATGATGAAAGGTAAGATAATATTAAAACACCAAGCCTTCAACAGACAAAGTGGGGAAGCCAGTAATGTAAAGTTAAATAGTCAGCCCTACATAGCTTTTTTATTTAACAATAATTTTCTTTCTAATACTTGTGAATTAAGTAATTAATACTATGAGGCACATCCGACACTAAAGTGCTACTTTTAACCATTGTATTTCACTAAGTATAAACTACGAAATCATTGCGTAAGAATGTCAAGTATTAGATCGAAATACTTTCATTTAGAATACAATGTATTGGATTGAAGTTTATTCACTTCAGAATGTTACTTACGCATTGGATCGTAATGTATTCACTTTAGTATGCAATATTCTGGATCGTAGACTAGTAATTTTAAATTGCAACGTATTTATTCATAGCATATTCTCTTAGAGTATAACTGTCTCATTACTGATTCACTTTCGTTTGTAGTATTTTATTCATTGACAGTAGATTTAAAGTTTAAAACACTAACCGTGCAGCACTGCAACTGAGTTGTCGTTTGTTAACTAAATAATATGAAACATTGAACTATTCTGTTTATCTGAAAAGTCGATGCACGTGTGTTCTAACCTGAAATGTTATGTATTATTCTCAGACATTGAATTACCATCCTTCAGCCGTTGTGTATTCCTTTCAGTCCCTGGAGTATCGTTGTGTACTAATCACACAACTTCTAAGTGACATTATGGAACGTTATCTGCCGCACACAATTTTGTGTAAATGTGTCAAAACAAAACTTTGTAGAACTGTTTAGAATAAGATAGACTTACACAAATCTTATTCAACTCAAAAACTTTATGAACACAGAAAGCTAATGTACAAACATATATATGCTTGTACAAACTTGGGCTAACTATCTAAAATGTATTTAACTTAACTCAAAGTACGTCATATATATATATATATATATACATAAAAAAATTAACATGGCGCATCAAACACATATAAGGTTGAATCTACTCCACTACAAATTGTATGTTCTCCAATTGTCTTTCTATTAAATTCTTGAAACACGATTTTTACTGTTCTCTATTTCGAAAACAATCAGCCTAGGATTACCAAACAGGAATTAGTTCGCGCTTTGTACCGATAAGTGTGATCAAACAGTTCTGCTGAGTCAGGATCAAAAGGTACACTTACTTACACTTACAGGAAACCTTATTTCTAATGTTGTATTTCAGTTTGTAGCAGATTCGAAACAGTTTATAGACATTTTGCAAGCACAAACGGGATGTAGAGTTCTGGGATGAGCCAAGACAAACCAATATTACTAATTGTGTTTATCGGCAAAACTATTTACCACGTTCTACCTTGTATTTGGAGGTATGTTGGACAGACAGCACTATTTGGAACGGTTAGTCCCATTCCGAGGTCCAAACCGCTGTGAGGACCGAGATGCTGACTGTAGCCACCTAGGCTGTTCAGCGAGGTGAGACTCGGGCCGGGGCTAGCTCCTGCAGAATGTGACAACACGTGAGATCGACTCACTATGGCAGCTTGGGCGCAAGACTCGCCGAGACTGGTTGAACTTTCCAAAATGTTCCGAGTGTGATGTGATTGAGTTAGGTGTATATCTGGTGTGCTTGTGTCCATGTTACCACAAGTTGAAGAAGTACCGCTAGCTGATGAGACACCGTCGTGATCTCCTGAGCCCGCCGAACACGGTTTTCCGTCTTTAACTAACACTGGCACAGCTACTTTTCTGGGCGAATGTTGCTGTGACTGTTGAGTTTGCTGCTCAGCCATAGCCTTCTCTTTGGCCTGCCTTTTACACTTGTAACGGTGATTCTGAAACCATATTTTCACCTGAGTAGGAGTGAGATGGATCAAGCTGGCCAGGTGTTCCCTCTCCGGAGCTGACAGGTATTTCTGCTGCTTGAAACGACGTTCGAGTTCGTACACCTGGGCCTGGGTAAACAACACACGCCGCTTCCGACGCTGTGACAATGGAAACTGGACCGCCTTGTTCTCAGCTGCTGTGGCCACACTACAAGCACTGAAGGTGGACATGTTCACGTTAGGCATGGACAACCCTGGAGATGACCCCATCAAGCGGGAAACTGTGAGATAAATGAAAATAAAGATTTGGCTTTAAAGAACATTTTTAACTATTTCATTTTGTATTCATTATCATTCTATAAAGGATAAACTATAGTTTGTTGCACTTTATATAAACTATATTTCACTGACATTACTTTATAAAACATATTGCTGATAATCGTAGATCCTAACTGAAATAATAAAATAAAAATCAAGTAATTAAAAACATTGTAAATAAACATCAATTTTAAGCATAACTGTATTGATAATACATTTCCTTAAATGATTGTAAAATTAGATTTGCTAGTTTTTGTAATTTAGACTATCGTGAGAGCTCGAACACAAACACATCAACTTTTGACCATATATGTTTCTTTCAACAAAGTACACATGGCGTTTATCAAATTGTTTGATAAGCACAATATATTTTTAACTAAAATGTTTGTATAACACTGATAATGTTTCCACTTTTCATACAATTTTCAATAAAGTTATTAAAAATAATTATTTAATAAATTAACATAATCGCTACGAGCTAAGCATAACTTTCATTATCCTAGCTGAACTTACAGGACTAACCAGAGAGGGGGCAATGGGGCAGCTGCCCCGGGGCCCGGGATCTGTTGAGGGGCCCGGCAGTGGGATATTCAAAACCTCACTAGAAATGCATACTACTTAATGAGCTAAAATGTCTACTGCTTTTTCATGGATTCATGAAAAAAATTGTTCCCTAAATTTCTTTTATGAAAAATCAGCAAAAGTTGATAAATAGAATGAAAGGGAGGCCCGATGATATTACTGACCCCGGGAACTGAGCTAGCTCTCGACGCCTCTGCTAACATAATCACACACAAACCTAAACATTCCACTTTTCACAGTTGTCATATTATTCAAAGTTATGTTAGGTAAATCGTTTATTACGGTGACATAGTATAGTTATTACAGGATATAAGTAATCTTCTTTATCCTAACTTAACTTACTCCAACAAATGCCTAAGCATATATCAGCGTTTAGAGGTTTAGTCTATGATCCCTGACTTTCCACAGATTTTATTCTAGCTTTTTTTAAATTATCTTTCCGCTTTTAAAAACTGTCACCTTTGGTTTCTTCCCTTCATAACCCCCCCCCCCCTTTAAGTCTGGCCGTTGAGCAGATTTACTTTATCAAGGTCACCTTAATACACAGGCAATATAAAACAAGTAGAACTTGACCAGGGAGAGGTCACCTTAATACTTGTTTTATACAGCCTGTGTAGAACTTGACCAGATGCCGGAGAGGTTGTGTACACACAGGCAGTATAAAACAAGTAGAACTTGACCAGATGCCGGAGAGGTTGTGTACACACAGGCTGTGTTAATGTTCTGCTGGACTCGGACTTCTAACCGGAATTTGCCACATATAAAATAAGGCTTAAGTTTATATGTGCTTCTGTAATTCCTAATAATTTACAGAATTAAATTCAATTATTTCAACATGCAATTTTTTTGAATAGTGGTAACTACATTGGCCAAATGTGACTGGCGTGAGACATGAAACTTTGCACGTGACAGTTCTGCTTTGGTGGGTAGTAATTTCGCTAAATTGACCCAATGTCATCAGGTATTATTAGATTAAATACCGAAAACTGTTAAGTGAGAATACTCAGCTGATAACCTAATGTATGTGGTCATAGAAGCTTTAAGTAGTTTGCCTGTAAGTCGCAATTAAGACTATTTATTATTATTGTAGACTTTTAGCAACTCTTCCAGTAGAAGTTATTACATAACTGAAGGTTCAACTGTGACAACTGCAACTTCCATAATCTGATAGTATGGAACAGTTGATGTAAGCTAGTATTTCCTCAACTGTGTTAGGCTAGAAACAGACAGCGACATATTCTATCTCCTTCTCTTTAGAATTATTGGACGTAGTAAATGGGTGAAATTAGTAAACATAAAAACATTGAAATAAAATAGAATTGGTTATTCTAAGAGTTGATATGTACATTGAACAAATAATTTTTTTCTCATTTTTGAGTGAGTAGCTAAGTGTAAATAACAGAACTCCAGTGCAGACTTTTATTTATGTTTTATGTTTGTGATAAAAGCAAAAAATAAAAATAAATACAAACATTTCGTTAACATTCAGAGGCTATATCGTGCAAGGACACAAGACGAAAAATAAAAATAAATACAAACATTTCGTTAACATTCAGAGGCTATATCGTGCAAGGACACAAGACGAAAAATAAAAATAAATACAAACATTTCGTTAACATTCAGAGGCTATATCGTGCAAGGACACAAGACGAAAAATAAAAATAAATACAAACATTTCGTTAACATTCAGAGGCTATATCGTGCAAGGATACAAGACGAAAAATAAAAATAAATACAAACATTTCGTTAACATTCAGAGGCTATATCGTGCAAGGATACAAGACGAAAAATAAAAATAAATACAAACATTTCGTTAACATTCAGAGGCTATATCGTGC